CGAAAAAAGCGCGGTAAAAATTATTTCAAAAATCTTTCGGTTAAGACACCGTGCGAAAAATCTTTCGGTTAAGACACATGGTCCCACAACTATGAATACAGTAACCTAGAAATAGATTTTCGTGCGTTCTCAGTCATTTTTCACTATCGAAAATTTTTAATTTTCTGGCTTTTAAATAGAAAAGCATTGGAAATCGAGAAAAAAAAACTCTTAAAAGCAAAAATACTTTCAGGTTACTGTAGTTGATGTTGGGGGACCTTCGGCCCCGACCACCGTTTGTTTTCCACTGCTCTGCTTTGTTTGGACCCGGATAATACAATATCTCTCCTTTATCTTCCAAGCACTTACATTCAAGCTGCCAGCTTCCGATGCGAGCTTATTCTCGTTGAGCACACTGATTCTATCTCTAAAACAAAACTCTGTAATATTTCAGATCAATCTCTATATCTTACCTGAAAACCTGATCGAGATCTTCGTTGCAAGTTACCAAGAGCGACGGTGTAGCGTCCTTGATATAGTGAGCAGCTTCGGATTCTGTGTATCCCGGATTCACTGGAATGTAGAGAGCTCCGATTTGAAGACACGCGATGTAGAGTGCAGCTGTGTCTGTCGTCTTGGAGACTCTGGCCATTACTCGGTCACCTTTCTAAAAATTTGAAAATCGAAATTCGAAGAACATTGTTGTTTCCTAACCTTGATATTATATTTTTCAGTGAGAGCAGTGGCATACTGTCCCGCTCGTTTCACGAATTCTGCATACGTTGTCTTGTGCTCGCCATCGATGAATAAAATCTGAACACAAATTGTTTGCGATGAACATTTGGTTTTTTAAATATATTACTTTCGAAGGTTCGGCTTGAATTTGTGCCTGGCTCACTATATTGTTTGAAGCAGACGAAGCTGCACGGATTCCGACACGCTGCGGGATAGAGCCGACTAGACGACTGAGCATGTCTAAAATTAGAGTATTCGCTATAAATTGGAGTATTCGCTAATATATTCGGAATTGGATACGAGGACCAAAAATATCAATGGAATGGCAGAATTCAACTTTTCGGTCAGCAAAAAATCAAAATTACATTTCTTATTTCGGGAACTGAATGAAAACAAATGTAAATTGATCGGGCTGACTATCTCTTTTATCGAGTCCTTTGCTTCACTGCGCCTCGTGTTCTCAGTGTGTCACCATCTTATAAATGACAACAAAGATAAGAAGTTAGAAGGAGAAACCTTCGTCGAAGTGAGCGAATGGTTCTTTGATGGCAAATCAAAGAACTGTGAGAAACGTAATTCTGATTCGTTTGATCTCAAAAGAAAGTTTTTGTCAGCAACATGCATCGAACGTCACATTTCATCTTAACAAGGTCAACGAGTCATGTAATGCAAAAACCAAGTCAGAACGCAGGAAAAAACTAATTATAAGTTATTAAAATCACATTTTTCACCTAAAAAACCACTAACGGGAATTATACATCAGAAAAAGGAGAGAAACAATAAATAAGTTAAATAAATGTGAAATAATTTAAAATTCGAGTGAGGGCCATTTGACACAGGAGCTGTGTAGATGGGGAAATCGTAGTTGAACCGAAATTGATATGAGAAGAAAACACAGGATTGTTGTTGCAGATGGAAGTATATGGATTGCACTATTATACAGGGTACCTGGACTCTGGAGCGAGACGATCAAGAATCTGAAATAAAAGTTTGTAAAAATGATGAGTAGTAATGTACGAACCTGACGGATTCCTGGAAGATAAGTGATTGTGGAAACTCCTGGAATTGTTCGCAACAGACTGACGACACCGGGCAGGAAGCCTCTGAAAAATCAGATAGTTGATATCAGTAACTGTATATACATTTAGTTCAGAAACTTACCCGAACAATAACACGAATCCCCAACATTCAGCAATCATTCCAAACAACGGGTATCCGAAAAGAACAACCAGAATTCCTCCAAAAAAGAGAATACTGCCCTTCAGTTTTCGGAACTCGAAGAAGAAAACAAGTGTTCGCTGCACTCCGATGATAAATGTGATACCAACGATGAATAGAAGCTGAAAAACAGACATTACACTGAACAAAAGATATGAAAAATTACGTTTCCAATGGCAAGAAGAGCCGAATCAAGGAACATGAGGACACCGAGAAATATGAAGAAAACACCGAATACGGTCAGCCCAATGCCGATCTCTGAAATTATTTCATAACGAATTATAGCGAGTTTCAATTAAAAAAACATACGTTTTGTCGTGCTTACTTCCATGTTCATCATTTTCAGATATTTTTTTTATTTTGGCTGGAAAAAAAAATTAACGAGGGAACATGCAAAAAAAAAAAGAAGGGCAACAGGTGAATGAAAAAATCGATAATCGCGCATAAAAATCTGTCGACGACATCTGGATGGCATTCTCATAAAGGGTTTTGAGATAAAATCTTGAAATTAAACTTGAAATTCTTCAGAAATGACGTGTCCGCAAAATTAAGAACACGTGGCCGTCGTGCATTTTTGCGGGTGGAAGAGAAACCCCCAGTGGCCGAGAACAGAGAAAAAAGGAGCGAATGTCGAAAAATTTGAACAACTGCACTGTTTGCGCGGAACAAGAGGAAGAAGAAATCGAGTAAAGCTTACAATTTCTGATCGGAAACGATGAAAAAAAAATTAAGACATAGTGTGCTTTGAAATTAACAAAAAATAAATCTAGAAGTTGATTATTTATTCCTATAGCCTTGAATAGTTTAAGCTGTGGCTGACATTGGGATGGTTACAGTTCCAGCTGGAGTGGCGGCAGCGAAAGCAGCCTGAGCGTCAGTAGCATCAGCTGGGGCGTGGGCGAAGTGGATGACGAGCTTGTCCTCCTTTGGTGCTCCAGCAGTGCGAGTGATGTTAATGTCCTTGGTTCCAGATGGATCGATGAATCCGAACACTGGGGTGATACGGTACTCATTGTTGTTTGACGACTTGATCTGAAATAATTTGGCGATTGAGATGGGACGTCTTCTGAATTGTGGATACCTTGAAGATAAGCTTGTCGGCTCCTCCATTGACCAATTTGTGGGTCGAGGTTCCACCGGCGGCTGGAACAGTGCATGCTGGTGGATCGGCGGTCAAAGACATGTTTTGGCTTCGATTGGAACTTCCTTGAGAAGACTGACTAGTCTGTGTTTCTCCCGGCTATTTATGTAAACTTCTTATCAAGATGTACTATTGATCTTATTTTAGGTTCACTTGAAACAAAGTGTAGACTCTAAAACGTGTTCAAATTTCAACTTGTTTTAAATTCACAAGAAAATGAAGTCTTTGTGTATCAGATAGAAAAAATTTTAACATATTCTGTCCCGGTTTTTTTTTGAAATTTCTTTCAGTTTATCTTATCTCCAATCTTATCATGAAGTTTAGAGCCGAAAAAACTCCAAAAAAGAAAGAACGTAAGGGGAAGAAAAGTAAGAAGAAGGAGAAGAAGAGAAAGACAAAGAAGGTTCGAAAAGTGGACAAATTCGAATCCCAAAACTTCCTCTATCGTGTTGAAGGATCTCTGTTCTGTGCCGGAATCAGTGGGTGTTCAAGTGCATAATTTATAAATTACAATTAAATTTTTTCAGTCGTCGCCCTTATGATGGCCCTTGTGTTTATCATATTGGGAATTGTTTTCGGAGTAAAAACCAATGGACATATGGTCAGCTACATGAATCCATGGTGGGGAGCTGATGATGAGTCGCTAGATGATTCTGGTCAAAAATAGGAGAGCAGTAGAGGACAAAATGGCACAACATGACAAATCGGTTTATTTTTGGGTTTCATAAGGAACCTACATTCTTAAAATAAACATTTTCATTTCTATTTTTGTTTTTTGTCTTCTGCACAGCTCCGGTTTTTCTGTACCTGAATAATAACCCTTCTCAAATTCGAATATTTTCTCCTACAGTAATTCATTCCAATTTCGTATATTTCCCCCCTACAGTAATCTTTTTGCTTCTCAAAAAATTGTTCCTACATTAATCCTTTTCATTTTCAAATGTTTTCCCCTACAGTAATCCTTTTTGAATTCGAATAATTTTCCCTACCGTAGTCTTTTTCATTTTCGGATTCCTACAGTAACATTTTTAATTTTTGAATAATTCCCCCTACAGTAATCCTTCACAATTCATACTATTTTTGGAAATTAGAGACTTTCAGGTTTTGAGATACGGTAGCCAGAACAAAAAAAATTAATGGAAGAGTCCGCTATTTATTTCAAATGACAAGTACATGTATCAAGGACGGTGAACAAAATAGTGGTTGTACTTTGTGGAGAGAAACTCGTAGGTGACAGGAGGAATTTGATGAGCAGATGGAACCCAGTAGGAGGCTTTCTGAAAAATGTACAAGCTCTTTCTCTATAAAAATGTTTGACACCAACTTTTTTGAGATAAGCAAGAGAGCAGTATGGAACAGGAATAGCAATATTGTCCAACTCCATATCCACCGTTTTTCTTGGTTTATCTCTCAATAATCCCACAGCCATATCGACAGTTGATGCATGTGCAACCACGAGAACCTTCAGTTCTTTTTCATAATGAGATACTTCCGATTGCTCAGCAATTGCGTTCAGAATCATTTTGATTCTTTCATTGTAGTCGTCATTTGTCTCTTGTTTTCCAACTACAGTTTCCAGAGAAAGAAATGGACGGAATGATTTGTCAACTGGGAAGATGTGACGTTGAAGTGGTGTGATGAATCTTGGAACTCCATGAGGATAGTGAAAGTTTTCAAATAGTCCAGGTTCCACACGAATTAACGCTTTGCTTCCAGACATGTCTCTAACCCATGTGGCAGTTTGAATGCAACGAAGAGATGGAGAGCAATAAATGACATCCGGTGTATTATCAGTCATCAGAAGACCTCTTCCAACCATTTGAGCAAGAACAACACCACTTCTAGTAAGACACGTGTCTCTAGTGTAATCCTTAAGAGGACGTTGAATCGGAAGACGAGATGGCATATTTAAATCAAATGGTTCATATTTTCCTTCCTTGTTACACTTTTCTATCCATCCTGGACAACAATCATCGACTCGTTCCGAGTGACGCATTACCATCATAACCGAAGGAGACACGTACATCTCATTGGGATGACTGAAAATTCAAATTAATTGGTTTTTTAGATTAGCTGGAATTACAGATTGCGATGAGATGAATCCCGATGGTCTCGATTCGACGGACAGTTATATGATCCTATATCCGAGTGATCCGAGTTATGTTCTAAATTTTTTATTTAATGTGAATCTTTTTTAAAATTCTCTCTCTCTCACTTCGTTGTTCACAACCTCCCATCTTCGAATCGTCTCCTTTACTAGACTAGTCGTTAAAGAATGACTGTTTGGCACTTTATTTTAACCATAAACGTGGATGGATAAATTGTTTGAAAAGTTTTCAAATTTTTTAAATATTCCAAAGCATAGAAATTAGATTACAATGAAGGTGCTCAATAAGAGTATGGTATTACTATTGACCTTAATTTTTATGCTTCCGAAGACAACATCCCAAGGTGAAGAGGAATTACTGAATCTTTAAAAATCTTTAAATAATTTTCAGATAGCCTTCTATGTTATTCAAAACTGAACAAAAACCACGTGGTTCGGTGCAAGACCGCATGTGTTGAGAAGACGTTAATTTCAAGATACAAATCAGATTCAGAGTTAGTGAACATACAGTAATCTTTAGAGATAATACTCCAATTGAAAATTCAGATACGACTTTGATTACTACTACCGTGTTGGATGTGAGAGCAAAACAGTTAAGTGAGCCAAATCTCTTTTTTTTTGTTCAAAAATATTCAATTCAGGAAAACTCTAAAAAGTGTAAAATGTGATTGGAATGTGAAAAATGGATCCGAATACTACCTACAGTACATGATCAAAGGAATCGATGAACGAAATCCAAGACTTTTTATTCGAAAAAAATGTTGCTTCAGTTCGTACTGTAATGAGCCAACTCTCAACTCCCGTCGATATTGGTATCGGAAGGATCAGAGTATGCTGACGATCATCAGGAACAAGTTCAACGCTAGGCATCTTTTGAAAACGACAGTTTTCATACTGATTGTGTTTCTGATTGCCTATGGAAGTGTTTCTGTAGTGATGAGCTGGTTTAAATCAAAACATCTTGCTGAATCAGGCCAGCAATTTCGACAGCTGGAGCTAGAATTGATGCAGGATACTTCATTCGAAGATTCCGCTATTGTAGATGTAGGGGTGAAGCTGAATTCTGTTATTCTCATTGTTTTTATTTCAGACGAAAATCGAAGTTACTGGAAGATTGACTGTTAAAGAAACTGCCCAGCTTCTATCCCTTCTCCCAGATAATGACAAGGTCAAGTATTCTAAAATGAAGTCAGTGTCTTCAGAAGAGTCAACGAAAGAATCTAAAACAGCAAACACTTTGAAAGCAGCCGAAAGTGAGGCAGTACTAGGAAGGGGAATGAGAAAGGTTAAAATAAAAGCTCCATTAAAAACAAGTGCATCCGGATGGGGTCATAAACTTTGCAATACAGTAAGAACCATCAATTCTCCATATGATATACTGTATCGCTTAATTGAACATGGTCCATATCAATACCCGTTCACTGCTCTGGAATTGCTTACGGTAGCAAAGTTTTCTGTCAACTCACATTTCCTAATGTTAACAATTCCAGCTATTCGAAGAGACCGCATTCAAGATGGCTGAAGAACCATCTCTTCTTCAAATCGAAGCGGAAGTTACTGTAATCGGAGACATACGTGGAAGATATGTGGATCTTCACAGATGGCTTCAATTGACTGGATGGCCTCCACAAAATAGAATTCTATTTCTTGGAGGAATCCTGGATAACGATGAACCGGGTTCTGTGGAATGTCTCGCTCTGATTTGTGCACTCAAAGTAAGTGAGTTATCATGAATGTGAATAAGTTCCATTTTCCAGTGCCGTTTCCCAAAACACGTCTTCATTCTCCGAGGTAGTCCAGAAACTTCAACATTTCGAATGTCGGAACGTCTTCATCCAGTAATCACTCGTGCTGTTCAATCCTGTATCAAACGGATGTGTTCTCACATGTCTTTTGCTGCTATAATCGGAAAATCAATTCTTGCTGTTTACAGTGGATTCTCTCCAATGATTCGGGAAAAAGGACACATTCATCATTTGTTCCGTCCAGTGACAGCCGAGCATATGACTACTGTAGAACGACATATCATTTTCAATCAACCATCGAATCAAGTCGGAATGTATCGTCCGAATCCTAGTAATTCTAATTCTTTGGAATAGTTAGTTCATGTTTTAAAACATTTTTTAGATTCGGAAGGCAATTGGTTCGGAAAACAAGCTGTAAAAAGGGCATGCAAAGCAATGAAGTGTAATGTTATGATCAGAGGTTTGACTCATGTTAACCTAAAATTTTAATAGATAAGCTATTTTCAGGTCAATCATATACTCCGTATGGCTATCTTCCTTGCTGGAATAACCGTTTAATCAATTTGTGGTCCGCTCCAGGATGTGGCTCAAATTTCGGTGCAGTGCTCTCGATTTCAAAAGATTTGGTGATCACTCCAATATTGATGGAGAAACAACAAGTTGAGAACTAAATCAGACTAAAATAAAATCTTTCTTTTTTTCGTTATGTTAAAAGTTATGTTGTTGAATATTTATTGAAAAAAAATTAGAAGACAATTATTCAAATTAGAAGACAATTAGAAAGGAGTCTCTGGGCGAGAATCGATCCACTTCTTGATTTGTGGAATAGCTTGAATCTTCTCTGAGTGAGCTTTGAGATCTTGGAATTTGCTGAAATCAATTCCCTGAGCAATGAGATCGGCCGAGTGCTGAGCAACAGCCAAATCGATCCAGGTCAATGACTTTCCGACCAAGAATCCGGATCCAGAGGCCTTCAAGAAGTTGCTCAAAAAAGTGAAGAATTTTTCAAAGGCTGGAAGGAAGACATCCTTCTTAAGAGTCTCAACATCTCCTGGTCCGAATCCCATTTTAGCGTAGAAATAAGGTTTGGCTTCACTGGAGTAATCCTTGAATTGATCAGACAAAGCATTGACTTGAGCCTCTTCCCATGGACATTGTCCATTTAATTTGAATTCACGAGCAAGATACCGAGCGATGGCATGGGATTGGGCAAGTGGTTTTCCATCGACTTCGAGGTAAGGGAGCTGACCGAATGGAGTTCCTGGAAATTATATTTGATTGCAATATGATTTGAATTCTCAAGTTCAGTTATGATCTTATTTTCCCATTGAACTCAAAATGGAAAAAAAAATCTAAAGATGAAAACTCACCAGCTTTGAGCTCTGGCCATTGCTCCATAGTAACTCTAACATCCTCGAAGTCTTGTCCAGCATGGGCAAAGATCTGACGAATAACCTCGCCAGCTCCACGTCCATTGAAATATGTCAACTTGTAGGCAACCATAATTGAACAGAAGTTGTTTGTGGAATCGACACTCAAAGTGGCGGGAATTGGAGACTCTTTCCTCTATTTATATTCGACCAACCACGCTGTTTTTGTGGTCTAAATCTCTCATTTCGGACAGTTGCCTCACTTTTTGTCATCATACACACAAACACTAGACACGGGTACAAACCACGAAAGAGGCGGAGCTTAAGAGAAGAATAGAATACTTGGTCCAAATGGAAGAGATGATTTTTGAAAAATTATCCTAGAGAATTTCGAAATCGAAGGATGAGTGTAATAAGAAATAGGGAGAAGTCTAAAAGCCCACCAAAACGATGATGTTCAATTTTGAACTCACATTTTAAAGTTACCTGAATTAGGAGAGCCTTTCTTTAAATTACATTTTTCTAGAAAACTTAGTTCGATTTTCTAGAAACTCAAACTACAGTACCCCTACATTATATATTCCATACAATACAATAATTTGAAAGTCACAATGCTAATATTATTCATTTGTAGTTTCCGTAGTCTGAATTTACCTTTTTTGATTTGATTCATTTGGTTTCTGCGGAGACACAAACTAATTACAGAGGCAACGGAAAGACACAAATATATTTATATGAAAACACATTTCCAGTTGTCTGAAATTGTGTTATTTCTATTTTTAATCCGTTGTTCTTTAGTTGTTTGTTGTGTTTTCACTTTCATATTTGTCAGTTTTGTGTGTCGGGAACAGAATTAACGGTGAACAAGTTTGAGAACGAGAAAAAATTCTGGTACAAAAAATCAGAGCTGTGGAAGAGAAAGGTGGTGGACGTGACCGAAGGACCGACAAAGACAACTACCGTAACCTCAAATACTGTTATTTCCGAATTTATTATTTATCTCGATTTTCGAAATTTTTTATTACTCTCGTCCGAAATCAATGCACGTTACGACCGAAAATTTACTCAAAATCGCATCGTCGGTCGCACAGCGAAAAAACAAATTGATGCATGCGCCTTTAAATAGCGTACCTCGGATGTTTTTTATTTTGGGCCCTATTTGGCTGTTTTTTCTATTTTATAAGAAAAATAAATTAAAGATTTATAAGAATTACACAAAATTAGACAGAAACAAGCGAAAAAATGAGAGAAATTTGAGAAAATTCGATAAATGTTGAAGTACTGTATTAAAGGCGCGTGCAATAATTTGAAAAATACAGTAAGGTTCTCTCTGTGGGAGCTAAGCTCCGCCCACCGCTGTTTTCTCGGCCGCAACGTGCATTGATTTCGGACAAGAGTAATATTTCTCGGCTTTTTCGGGGGAAAATGATAACAGAAAGCTTAACGAAAAGCAGTGAAAAAAAGGAAAAAAATCTGAAAAATTATTTTTAGGTCACGGTATTGTCGGATTAAAAAAAGTGACACCTGAAAATCTCGGAGACGGCGCTCGTGTCGATTTACGAGGGGGCGGAGCGAAAACGGATACTGTAGATAACAAATATATTTATGTGAATTTAGTGGGATTTTGTGAACGAATTTTTGATTTCTTGGTATAAAGATGATCGCTAGCATCTCTAGAATCTAGAATCTATTTTTCAGCAAAAAACTTAACTTAAACGCGAAAGTAGCTCGAACGAGCCGAAATTCTGAAACATTACGTTTTTGCCGCATTTTTTCGTAGATCAAAAAAAGCAAAATTTTTCAAATTCTCAGGTGTCACTTTTTTTAATTCGACAATAGTTGTCGTTGTGAGACCTTCGGCCACAGCCACCGGCGTTTCTCTTCCACAGCTCCGATGTTTTTGACAAAACTTTTTGAACCAAAATAACATATTTAAAAATCCAGATTTTATCTGTACACATAAATTCAGTTCAACTGAAATCTTATTTCCGAGTTTCTTCTTCAGTCGAATGCGATGACGAACTTTTAGATTCTTTTTCAGCCTTTTCAGTTGTTTCAATGTCTGCTGGTGCTGGTTCAACTTCAATGCATTCTCTTTTGTGATTCATTTCCGTGTACCCAATTACATTTGGAACCTCCATTCCATTTGATCTTTTCTTCCGTGGTACTGCTTTTATGACATCGAAAACGGACATTTTCAGCACGTCAGCTGCAGTTTTCCGCTTCTTCGGGTCAATTTTTAGAGTGGATTTCATAAATTCGTACATATCTGGATCGAGCATCTTACTGGTGAACTGAAAAGAAGAACATTACTTGAAGGTCCGCCATTTAGCGTTCTCAGTAGAGCATGATTAAAATTGGGTCGTGTACTCCACGTGAACAATGGGGAAAAAATGATTTTTTTAGAATAAATAACCTAGTTTTTTTTGTTTTTTCCTTCATTTTTTAAAAGATTCTGATTTATAAATTGTGTCAAATACCGTTTCTATCCCTCTCGCTTCCTTTCTTGCCACTCTCGGACGTTTGACTCCCATACTTTTAATGTCTTCGTCGGTCGGATATCCGAGAACTCCGGTTATCAACATAATCTCAAAAAATATAGGTAAAATCATATAATTTTTCTTTTGAATTTTTACTTGGTCTTTTGTGTCTTTCCCTCTAAACAATACTCGATTAGCAAACAATTCGAATGCCACACATGTTGCTGACCAGATGTCTGAAAGTAAATTTTTGGATTTCTCGGGCATCAGTTTCTTTATTCACCAATTGCTGGTGTGAACTTCTCACATCCAAAGAGAAGCTCTGGAGGTCGATAAAATCGTGTCACCTAAAAATTTTATTTTTATCTTTTTTTTTGCGAATTTTCAACCTGATAAGCACCACCCGTCTTCTCACTGGTTTCCAATCGTCGAGCGTTTCCAAAATCAGCCAATTTCAGAAGGCCTTTCTAAAAAATTTGTTGCTGGATTTTAATTTCCGTTTGCGCTCACCATCCGATCCATGATCACATTTTGTGGTTTGATATCCATATGAACAATGTTTTTCGACGCTAAATGTGATATTGCACAAAATAGTTGAAATGTGTAGAACTTTGCATCTAGAACATCAAATTTTACTCCTTGATCCCTTAATTTTGCCATTTCGCTTGGCAAGTAGTCAAGAACAAGACAGTGGATTGTCTGCAAGGTTTATTAACGATGTGATTCTCTTTCCAATTGTCAACCTTATTATTAGCGTTTCTCGAATAGAAATACAACAAATTTGAGATCGCCGGATGAAAAACTTCAGATAATATTTGAACTTCCGGATACTGAGTCGTTGGCAAATGCCGTGTCTCTGTGTCAGACCACACATTCTTGACAGCCACCTCCTTTTTGATCGGTCCAATCATTTGTCCACAGTATACATTTGAAAATCTTCCACTTCCACATAATTTGTGTCCTAAATTGAATATCTAACCCTTGAATTTTTTTAAATCCCACGAACCTCCGAATTGTAAGCTCACTGGAAAGATCTCGCCGCCGTCTTTAATTCCATAACCGTTCATCATCTTTGTATCACAAAAATCAATAAAAATGACGAGGAATTCTAAGTTTTCCAAGAATTCAAATAAAATAATTTCCTTTTCACGTCGTAGGAAGATTCTTTCTTGGTCATTCTAGAAAAAATTTTCAATTTCGTTAAGTGCACTAACTTCCTTCCTGTCAGGCAGCCTTCGATTTCCTTTTTAGCTCCTCTTTAGCCCCATCACTTCTATAACTTACTACACCAGTCTCGAAAAAAGTTTTGCAAAACCTTTCCTGAAATCTCTTTCCGAGACAGTAGCCTAGGATCCGACTACACACTGTCGTGGATTATAAACAAAACTCACACACAAACGGACACACTCTCTCTCCCTTTGCCTCTTCTCTTTTCTTTTCTCGCGTCCCCATCGACTGCTGCTATTCAGCCAGTTTGTGATTGATTTCTTCTCATTTCGCCGCTTTCTCTCCAAAATGTTCATTTTGAATCGATTAATTTATCGATGCTGTAAGTATATTTTGTCCTAATTAAAAATATATCTAGTTAAAAATCCATTGTCCTTTTTTTTAAACGCCGAGTTGTTTTTTTTTCATAGTCGTCCGTTTTTCCTAACGATTAAATTTTTTAGTAACCAGTATTCTTTTTAATAGCCCGTATTTTGAATTATGTTCACTTAAAGTCATAGTTTAGTGTTCGGATATTGGTGAAAATCAATACCAGTACTGGGTTACAACTTTCCAGGCATTGGAAAAAGGAAAAACTGGAACTTCAGCCAGTTTTTCGATCTTAAATTATAGCAAAATGTTACCTATGGTTTTCTCCCGTTTTCCCCGAAGTTTCAGCCTGATGGGTTCAGTATCTGCGTTTTCTCGGAGTTTTTTCTTTCTTAATTTTTTGCTGGTCACCTGAATAACCTCAATATGTGAGGTTTTCGGTTTTCTTTCAGATTTTTATCTTAACTGAAACTTTCTGTATTTTTTTACTTCGATACATGCTATCTAACCCACTCATGACTTGGTTCAAACGTCATCTGAGTAAGACTGTTCTGTTGCCGGTGGGAAAAGGGCGTCGTTGACATCGCAACATCTCTATATATCTCTTTGTCGTTTGCACTCCTTCTTTTGATGCTCTTTCCCTTGTTTCTCTGTCTCATCAGTAGCTTGAGCTTTTTCACACATCTTTACTTTTTTGTCCTTTCATGCAATTCATCCTGTTTTTCAGTTGTTCCATCGTCTTTCTTTAAAGACACTCAAACGGATACAGATCGCAGTCCAAATGCCGGAAACAGACGAGGAGAAAGTGAAAAGATATACCGACTGCCTAGCAAATGGGGTCGATGTGAGTGACAGTTTCATAGCTAAAAGTATGAACTGACCGATTTTCAGCCAAAACGAGCGCTGAAACGTTTGTATGATTTACAAGTGACTCCTGAAGTCTACAAGTCGTTGGACACATACCGCTACGTCCAAAGATACGAATCGTCACCGGAGCTGGCAAAATATGCGAAACGAGTTCGTGACAAGCTCATTGGGCGGAAGAGGGAGAGAGGGGACAACGTCATAACGGGTCATGAACACGAACACGGTACGCATCAGGTAAAGAAGCCAAAGCAAGAGCAGGCGAATCTTGATGAGGAGTTTGCTGAAGCCATGAAAGGAGGAGTGACTGCGCATTCAGCAAGTGCTCCACGGGTTGCTGTGGACTACAGCAAATACAAAGTTACCAAACGTACGGAAGTGAAGGTGGAGCCGAAACAGGAAATAGTGGATGACTACGAACATCATGCAGTATCATTGTCTTCATCATCTTCGGCAGTGGCCAAGAAACCAAAGGAGTATGCTCCGATTGTGTCTACGATCAGGCCACCGATGCCACACCTGAAGAAGGCAATACCACAGAGCGAGAGTTTGCATGCTGACGAAAATATGTTCAAACCGCGGAAGGAAAGACAGAAAGTGTTCGCTGGAAGACGTAGAAAGATCGGAGAGGGAGTTCCCTCGCTCATTTCAATGTGCCAGGTCGTTCTCACATCAAACATTGACAGTCAGTTTGTTTTGAATAGACTTTTTCTCAGAAATTCCATTATTTCAGTGATCGACCATGTCGGTGTCGTTCCATTCAACCTTCTCGAGCCAGCACTCAATCATGCTACCACCGAGCAACTTCGTCGCATTCTGGATGCCAATCCTCTTCTTGTGAAAGACGCCGACAAAATGTTCTACGAGAAAATTGTACAAGAGTTTCCAAAGTACGCGGATCGCGAGATGGACGAGGATGATACTTGGCGGGAGTTATATGATAAGCTCGTTGAACGGAAAAAGAGAAAGGCCGATGACAAGCTAGAACGACTGACATCTCGGATAGGAAAGGCTCACACTGGTTCAAATCAAGGACGGCAAACGGTAGGAGAGTTAGCGTTGGCAAATTAAACATGAGAAATTTTTATAGATGGTGATCGATATGGCTCACACTAGAGTTCGTTCAGGAGGATTCTTCAATACTGTGAGAGAGAGTCAAGTCAAAATGACACCGACGCCGTCTGCAATCCAGCTCTCACAAGCAAGAAAGAATGTAAAGACTGGTAGGATATTCAAGATAGGCTGAATATAAAGAAACTGTTATTTTACAGAAGGAAAAGCTCAACTCAGAACCATCACTCCACGGGGAGGACGACTTCCAACGACTTCCCGTTCTCGTTCAAACAACAATGGAAGTAGTGGTGTGGTTGTCAAAAAAGTCGCACCTCTTATGGCCAAATGCAGGAAGATGTTGAAAAGATAAACTTGTATTCTTCTTTTCTCATCCATCAGAATTATTGATTAAAAAATTCTACTCACTTTCAAACAATCGTTTTATCAGCATGCCCTTTTTTTTCTTCCAATATGTCCCCCACTAGTCTACTGTAACTCTTCACTTCTTCGTACTTTCTTGTACAACAAAGTTATTATCAAGTACATTTTTCTTTCATAGCATATTCATTTTTATTCCTTTTTATTTATCCATCCTTGTCTTTTTTATTATTTCTCTCTGTCATTGTCTACATTTAGTTTCATGTAGTACTTCTGTAGTACTTCTGTACACCCCCCGTGTAAATTTTTTAAATGAGGCTGGTTTCTCATACCGAAATAAAGATTTTACAGACTTTATTAAATGATAGAAAAGAATGTTATGCTTTTGAGTAATGTTCCTTTCTCCTCCTTTTTCTTCTCATCTGCCTCTGAACCTTTTTACACCTGTTCCTGTACTTCCTCCACCTTTCTGCATCATTGTTGCTTTTCCATTTCTTCTTATTCTTCGATGTGTCTTCTTCGATGTCAGTCATCTGGAAATTCCCTTTTGAGGTTTTAAAATATGCATTTCCCAAAACTCACTTCATGATTTGTCGGTGATGGAAGACTGATTTCCACCTCTTCTTGTTGCTCAAACTTTTTGATCCTTTGAGCATCATCCATCCTCTCGATTCTTGCTTCTCTCCACATCGTTCTCATCTCTTTCGAGTCCTTCAGAATCGGCGCCAACTCTCCAAAATCTGCATACTTTTCATCTCTTTCCACTTTTCGAATCACTTTTCGAGCCATTCTCCAATATGATTCTTCTCTTAACAGATCCTCCACTCGTTCCACACTTCGTCCTATTAGTGCCTTTGGGATTCTCATACGTTTCAGTGATTTGAGAGAGTGAACTACCTGAATATAAAAAAACAATGGGAGCAGTTTTTAAAAGATGGGTAAAGAAATTCTCATATATATTTAGGCTCGAATCTCAAATAAACCATTATTCTTTTAAGTGTTTTCATAAGTTTCCCAGAAGTTCTGGAAAATCCAACATTCAGAAAATTTCAAAAACCCAAATATTTGGAACTTTTCAAGAAAGTCGAAACTTCAAAAAAAAATTCAAAAGTTAAATTCTACAAATTTCAGCTAAAAAATTCTGAAAATTTCTATAGTTAACCATAAACACCTGTTAATTAATACCACAAGCCACCCAAACGGTCAACTTTGAGTTCATATATCTCGGTTCCTGTAAAAGATATTAAAAAGTGATCAACTGATAGCATGGTTATAATAATGATATTAGTATTTTATCAGTTGACACATTTTTGATATCTTTCATAGGAGTTGAGATATAGGGGTCAAAGTTGATGGTTTGGGAGAGTGGTTACGGTAAATTTATAACTTACATCATGTCTGTCCTCAATATTCTCCATATATCTATAAAATTTCTTCTCGTTGAATTCTATCATCTTTCCCGAAATATTGGAGCGCACAGGTTTCTATAATATTCGATATTAACCCAACTGGAGGTTTTTTGCGAGAAGAATGTGAAGAAGAAGGATTGCAATAAAATACACGGAAGGAGCTCAATCTTAATGTCTTTCGGACGACGACTCCTTCCTAATACTCTCTTTGGGTTTCTTGAGTCAAAAGGATTCAAGTGATGGGACATAAATTACCTCCGTTAGTCATAAATATTGGCCAAGATGGAAAAGAAAAAGAGAAAGAGAAAGAAGAAGTTGGAAGTACTTATTAGTTTTACATATCTAATTACGGAAGCTCTGATCAAACTACTCAATAAATTATGGATTAATGTGATTAATAAATACAAGTATTTTCAAATTTTGATGCTATTATGCTGGTATGCAAAGCAGTAGGTCCCACAACGACAACTACCGTAATCTAAAAAATTAGAGATTTTTCGAGAGAAAAACGTAGATTTTTGTTAGATGTTTAGACCTTTTTAGCTTTTTCAGCTGTTTTCAAGGATTCTTATCCGATTTTTCCGGTTTTTTGTCTGAAATTTTATGGAACGTTGTTTTGATAAGGGAAGTGTAGATTACTGTAGAAAAAATTTCCTTTTGTATTTTTTTTTTGAAAACACAATCACGTCAAATTGCAGATTTTTACAAAACTACAAAATATGTACAAGTTTTCTACAGAAATCTTCAGTAGTCAAAACACTATCCCGTCAAATTTCAGACAAGAAATTAGGTCAAATAGAAAAAGAATTTTCGGAAATAGCTGAAAAAATTGAAGAAAAAATCAAATTTTCTAGATTTATTTTCTAGATTTTCGTGCAGTTTCCGTTTTTATCACTATCAAAAACATTAATTTTCCGACTTTTTTTGGGAAAACAAAAGAAAAATCGAAAAAATAAATCCGGAAAATAAGGACTTGCTCCGATTTTTTTGTAACAGAATAACAGAGAAAAGAAGAAAATGAACTTCCGTTGAGCTTCAAAAGGAGAAAATAATGAAGGAGGGGAACATCTCGAAATGACATGGAACGTAAGAGAAAACGCCCGGAAATTGGACGCTTGTGGTAGACAGAAAAATATTGCTAGAAAACAGTAATGTTTTCCATTTCCTGCTTGTCGGCTGATGACTTCCTATGAGAGTATATCCTATATATGAAAAAACATAAGAAAAAATGAAAGGGGTGGAGCAATGCTTTAAAAAATTTTCCAATCAATTTTTTTTCGAAACACCTCCCCTTTTTCTAGAAAGTCGTTAGACATTCTGGGTAACAAATCACGACTATAGTCATTTGACATTTTCAAAAAAAACCGATTTATTAACCATTATACTGCTATAGTAGGCACAAACTAATCCCGGGAGCAAAGTGAAAGTAATACAACCGAAAAAGGAGGGAAATGTTGGGAAGGAGCAAGATAGACAAAAAAGTTAATTTTTACTACTATTATTAGCTACGTTTTTGAATACGTATTAGGTGTTGTGTATCATCATCATAAATATAATCTCTAGGGGCAATTTCAGCAGAAAAATATTGTTTTCAATCTAATTCGTATCCAATAATTGGGGAGAGCCATCGCTCGACTTCTTCCTTTGGTACATTCTTTCTGGCTGCATAGTCGGTTACCTGAATTCAGAATATGCATTTTTCGATCTCACATATATGAATGCTACCTGATCTTCGTCAATTTTTCCAACAGCAAAGTACTGACTCTGTGGATTAGCGAAGTATAGTCCTGATACTGAAGCAGCTGGAAGCATTGCCAAATGTTCAGTGAGCACAATTCCATTCTTTTCCGCTTCCAGAAGCTTCCAGAGAGTCCGTTTCTCAGTGTGATCCGGTTGGGAAGGATATCCACATGCTGGTCGGATTCCCTCGTATTTGATAGATAGAAGATCAGTTTCGGTGAGTTGTTCATTCGTTGAATATCCCCACAAATTAACTCTCACTTCTTTGTGAAGGTACTCAGCATAGGCTTCTGCCAGACGATCAGCGAGAGCCTTCACCATGATGGATGCATAATCATCGTGATTTTCCTCAAGAACTTTACAATACTCCTCTGCTCCAAGTCCAGCTGTACAAGCGAAAAGACCGAGATAGTCATCCGGAACACCTGTGAATATAAGGTTTAAATTTCTGTTAAAGTAAGCGAACCTTACCGATCTTCAATGGTCTGATGAAGTCGGACAAACAGAAATGAGATTGATCATGTTCACGTCCTGATTGCTGACGAAGTCCGTAGAAAGTATCCAACTTGTTTCCAGTTTCTGGATCGTAGACATGAATATCATCTCCTTCCGAAGCAGCTGGCAAGAATGAAACGACTGCATTAGCAGTGAGAACCTTCTCATCGATCAACTTCTTAAGCCATGTTTGGGCATCCTGAAATCAAAAAGATAACTAATGAAGCTATATCGTAAGCTGTACATCGAAGACACGTTTAGCTTCACCCCCAACATCTGCGTCGTCGAAGATCTTTGGATAACTGCGATTCGGATATTTTCCTCTCAATTGCCAGACATCGAAGAACGGCTTCCAATCGATGTATGGAATCAGTTCCTTGAAATCGAAATTTTGAAATTCGCGTCGCCCAATGAATGATGGTTTGACGGGGGAAAACTTGTTCCAGTCGATGTTGAACTTCTTCTCACGAGTCTTACCGAGAGCGACGAATCGTCTATCTTTCAACGATTCGTAGTGTTCTTGACGAACCTGTAATAAAAAAATGATTTAAATAAGAAACTAGACACATTTTAGTTCTTACATCTTCGTAATCCTCATTCAAATCTTGCAAGAAAGCATCACGAACAGTCATATCAGACAACGAAGAGCACACGACAACGGACTTAGAAGCATCCAAACAATGAACAACTGGATGTGGGTATCTTGGAGCAATTTTGACAGCAGTGTGAGTTTTCGAGGTAGTTGCTCCTCCGATAAGAAGTGGAATTTTCAAGCCAACACGATTCATTTCTTTGGCAACATGAACCATTTCATCAAGAGATGGAGTGATGAGTCCGGAGAGTCCGATGAAGTCAGCTTTCTCTTCGATCGCAGCCTTGATAATGTTCTCACACGGAGTCATCACACCAAGATCAACCACTTTGAAGTTATTGCATCCCAACACAACAGCCACAATATTCTTTCCAATATCATGCACATCTCCTTTCACAGTAGCAATTACCACAGTACCTTGATAAGGACTCTCGTCTTCATCTAATCCCATCTTCTCAATATTTGCTTGTCGCTCAGCGTCCATGAATGGAAGAAGATGAGCCACCGCTTTCTTCATGACTCTCGCAGACTTGATAACTTGAGGAAGGAACATTTTTCCAGCACCAAATAGCTCTCCAACCACCGCCATTCCATCCATCAATGGTCGTTCGATTACATTCAATGGTCTTGGATATTTTTCAGTGTTCTGTCTGGCTTCTTCGGTATCAGCGACAACGAATTGATCGATTCCTTTGACAAGAGCAAACTTGAGACGTTCCTCAACTGAGGTATTTCTCCATTCATCAGTCTTCGTGTCAGCCTTCTTCCCGTCTTTCTTCATCTCCTGAGCAGCTACAAGAAGCTTTTCCGTCGCTTCTGGATCACGATTGAATAGCAAATCTTCCAAAAGTTGAAGCAAAGGTTTGTCAATATCTTCATAAACTGGCAGTGCTCCTGCATTCACGATTCCCATATCCATACCAGCCTTGATGGCATAGAAAAGGAAAACAGAGTGCATTGCTTCACGGATGGCTTCCATTCCACGGAACGAGAAAGAAATATTAGATACTCCTCCGGAAACATGAGCCCCTGGAAGGTTCTCGCGAATCATGCGAGTGGCTTCAATGAAGTACATTCCATAGTTTGCATGTTCATCCATTCCTGTGGCGATGGTGAGAATGTTGGCATCGAAAATGATATCGTTCGGATTAAATCCAACTTCCTCTGTCAGAATCCTGTATGATCTCTCACAAATCTCAAACTTTCTCTCTGTCTCTGCAGCTTGTCCTTCCTCGTCAAACGCCATCACAACCACAGCTGCTCCGTATCTTTTAACGATTCTAGCACGCTCTTTGAATTTTTCTTCTCCTTCTTTCAATGAAATCGAGTTGACGACACATTTTCCTTGCGTCGATTCGAGACCAGCAATGATGACATCGAAGTCTGAAGAATCAATGCATACTGGAATTTTCGCAACGTCTGGTTCAGAAGATATCAGCCGGAGGAATTTCGACATTGCGTAGGGGCCATCAAGAAGACCATCATCCATGTTCACATCCAGAATTTGAGCTCCACTGTCGACTTGAACACGTGCCACATCGATCGCGGTATCGTAGTTCTCATTTTTAATCAGGTTGCAGAAACGACGGGATCCGGCTACATTGCATCGTTCACCGATATTCACGAAATTCGTCTCTGGTCCCACGATCGATGGTTCGAGACCAGATAACAGCATCTTTCCAGCGTGTGGATCGGCTGGAGGAACACGCGGACTGATTCCTTGAACTGCCTTGTACATGGCGTTGATATGGTCCGGTGTGGTTCCACAGCAACCTCCAATGATGTTCACAAGACCATCTTGAGCAAATTCTCGCAGAACTTCAGCCATCTCTTCGGGAGTTTCATCGTATCCTCCGAGTGCATTGGGAAGTCCTATAAAATTTAAAAAGTTAAACTAAATCTACAGGAATATCACACAAACCTGCATTTGGGTAACACAAAATTAGAGTATCCGACCAGAGAGACATATTCTGGACAAACTGTCTCATATCTTTAGCTCCTAGAGCACAATTCAATCCCACTGCTATTGGCTTTCCTTGTTTGGTAGAAACAAGAAAGGCTTCTCCGGTTTGCCCAGAAAGAGTACGACCAGACATGTCGACAATTGTTCCCGAAAGGAAAACTGGGATTTCTGGAACGCCTTCATCTTCAAAAAGTGTGCGAATAGCAAAAAGAGCAGCCTTGGCGTTAGCTGAATCGAATACAGTTTCCACGAGAAGCACATCAACACCTCCTTGAATCAAAGATCTCGCCTGGTCTCCGTATGCTTTTACTAGCTCTTGGAAGGCTGAAATAACATCAGGTTTTATTAGTGTGAAATAGATCCAAAAAATATTATGGTAGAAAAATACTCACTGACGTTACGGAAGTCTGGCTTCTCGACTGACGGTGAGATGGATAGTGTTCTGTTCGTTGGACCGATTGCACCACATACATATCGACGTATACCTGAAAAAATTAATTGAACGAAATGCTTAGAAATTTTCAAGATCACCTGTAGCGGCTCCGACATCATCACATGCTCTCCTAGCAACTAATGCTGACTGGTAGTTGATTTCATGAACGAGATGCTCGCAATGATAATCTGCCTGTGCAATTGTGGTACCCGAGAAAGTGTTTGTCTCAATGAAATCCGCTCCTGCTTCAAGATACAGCTTGTGAATTTTATAGATGATATCCGGGCGGGTAATTGAGAGAAGATCATTGTTTCCTTTCAATGGCTTGTCGTGGTCTTTCAAGATCTGAAAAGTTAGCTACTGTTTTCAGAAAAGGCGTCACATGAAACTATAATTTTAATCACATGAACATGAACTTTTTTGATCAAGTACTCTGCGTCTATCACTTTTCGACAACATCAATTTGTGAACTTTTCAAAGCAGTCTCTTTGGTCATGCGCTCTCCAACGCACAATGTTCACTTTTTGATGTGTTCAAAGTCTGATTTTTAAAATCTTACCTCTCCACGGAAGTCGTGTTCCTCCATATATTCTCTCTGAATCATCGTTCCCATAGCTCCGTCGATGATCATGATTCGCTCTTTGGCGATATCAGCCAACTCCTTGAAAAGACTACTTCGAGTCATTTTCTGCAATAAAAAAAGGTTAGGTGTGAAAACAAACAATCTCTTAAAGATGAGTAGACAACGTTTAAAAGAGGATAGGAGAATACACTCTAGCTTCGAAAAAAGACTAATTTTGTTTTGAATTTCCGGGCGAAAAAAATAATTTGCATACTTCACGAGGACTACACAACCGAGTGGCCTAGCAACCGAAGATGGTCGCTAACTGTTTTTCAGTGTTTTTTTTTGAATAAAAAATTTTAGGTTCACTTCAAGTTTCTGAACTAATTTCCTACGAAAAATAATAGCCTAAACAAAAAAAACCATAGAAAATATTTTATTCTGTGAACCAAAAATTCTCAAATACGATCCGAAATGGGGATAACAGTCGAAGGACTGACTGGTGGAGAACGGAAAACACGGCGAGACAAAAGTCGTGGCAAATCGGAAATCACAATCTTTTCCGTCTCGTCGGTCTCCTTATTTTGACTGCTATCTCGATATGGAAATATAGAAGACAAGGGAACATACATTATCATAGACACCTCTCACAAATAGAATAGAAACAGGACCAAAAATCGGTCAAAAGACATGTGAAATTTTGTTTTAGAGATGCATCTGGAGATGCAGCAACGGGATAACGAACGAAAGAAGATGAATAGAGAGATGGGAAGTATTTATAAAAAAAAGAAGCAAGAAAAGGACAGATTAATTCGCTTACTGATAAGATTGAAAAGTGGGCGGTTCGAGATAACCAAGAAGAAATGGCGCCACTCAATTGAGGTACGCACTCTATCTTCGAAGTACTTTGGTTTTATTGTTGAACAGAGTAGGACAGTATGTTTCCATGGAACAAAAAGGGCATGAAACCAAATTATGACTTCTGATATTCCGATTAAGATATCCGACAATACAGCGAAGAGGAAAACCAAAACTCAGAAAGGAAATCTGTGTCCAGGAGACTCTGTCTTATCTAGGATGGAGAAAATCACTGACATCATCTGTTTTGAAAACAACCAACGCACTTTGGCCTCATATTAAATAGTGGGTCGATGGTTCAAAAGTTCTGATTATGATCTTTGTGTAGCTGATTGAAAAACTCGATTGATAAGAGATGTGGGAGAAGAAGGCGAACAAGTATGTACTGATAATGAAGTTTTATTAATCTCGAAAGATAGAAAAGTGTTAAAAAGAGATGGTACAATTAAAAGGGCAACAACAATAAGCTCAATGGAAGTCAATATAGTCATAGGTGTTCTCTTCATATACTTCAGGTTTCAGATAGTACTTGTTCTGATTTCTCTTCCCGACTTTTGTGTAGTGATTAGAGTTCTGACGCTTTTCCTTCTTATAAAATTTCTCTTGGACCATCGGATTCGTCTTATAATTTTCATGCTGATAAATCATCATCTCAACCAACGCAGCCTTTTCTTTTTCTAACTTTCTAATTTTCTTTTGAAGATTCTTCTTGGAGACGTCCTCAACGTGATGATATGACATCTCGCAAACGGAGGAATTCATGTTGTCATCGAGGAAACCAGTATTCTTGACGTCGTCTTCATTGGTACTCTTGGATTTTTTGGAGTATGGGAAGATGCAGAAAAAGATTTTTGACATTTTTTAATACTCTGGAAATAGGCTTATTAGAACAAGAATAAATTATGGATAAGAAAATAATAATTGAAAGGGCCAAGGAGAAAATTAAGACAGATTCACAACAGGAAGAAGAACAAGAATGATTCTGTGAGTCAGAGATGCATACTGTTTCCCATAACTAAAGGAGATATTATTTTCTTCACATGGTAGATGCAGGTGCAATAAAAATTGCACTAGGTGAAGGCGGGTGTCCCAATAAACAGAAAGTGACAGTTCGTGGGAAAACAATGTTTCATTGATGAGACGAATAATGATCTGAAGAAACTATAAAAAATTCCAAAAGATTCAATTGTTTCAATTTTTCGTTAAAAGTTTCCTTTCCTGATATTCGAATCCTTTTTTGAAAACTACCGTATTCTAGTAGAAGCCCACACAAACAGTCAACTTTGATCCAATTTATCTCGGTTTCTGTCAAAGTTACAAAAAAAGTTGTCAACTGATAAACTGTTTAGCAGAACATCAGTAATGTTTTATCAGTTGACCACTTTCTGATATCTTGCATAAAGAATCGATATAATTGAGCTCAAAGTTGACGGTTTGGGTGGACTTCTATGAGAGGATATACGGTAAGAGTTGTTTTAGTAAGGCAATAGTTTTATTTGACAATCAACTGTAAAAGGGACTCTGGTTAAGGTAGAAAGTAAATATAAGATAATTCAATAATTTGTGAGTGCGTTAAAAACAATAATTAGTTGTGAATCAATTAGTTTTCAGTAGAAGTTATCATTTAGTTTGATGAAAACGGGATGCAAGGTTTCTGGACGTCCTCATCGTCAGAACTTGATAGAATAATATCCTCGAATCGGAGATTTTCTTTTTCCGAGTTCAAAGTTCCAATCGATGAACTGGAAAGGTTAGAATCGATTCCAGAATCGCCATTGTATAATGCAGATTTCTCTCTGGAGTCTGGAAGACGTGACGAATTCATATACTTGTTGAGCGATAAACAACTGGACGGATATCCATATTTTTCAATGATTCCATTCTCCTTTTTTCGTGGTTCTCCAGCTTCTTTTGATATCTTGCTCCGCGCTGGCGACAAGTCTTGATATGATTAACCTCTTGTTTTTCCGGCTTCTGAAAGATTTCAATTTACGTCGACCTTTTGTAAAAAACACAGAACGTTCTATTATCCCGGTAAATAAATGATTGGAGCTGTGGACGAGAAACGCCGGTTACTGTAGTTATCCTTTTAGGACCTTCGGCCACGGCCACTAGATTTTCTCTCTCATAGCTCCAGTTCAGAGTAATACCTGTTCATTTCTCAAGTCGTTTCGCATCTTCCGACAATAAGCTTGCCATTCCGATTCGTCAGTTTCTTTGTTTCCATTTCTTACGAATTCATTCCTTTGATTTTCTTGTCTTCTGAGTAAAGCTCTTCGTTCTTCTTGTCTGATTCTTCTCTCTTCAAAGAATAACCAGTTCTCATGTGCATTTACTCGAAACAACAGTGCTTTGGCTCTCAAATCAGAATAATTTTTCGTTCTTTCTTGATTCTCTATATGTTTCTTCTGAATCTGGATAGGCTTCTGAATTTTTATTGGTGTAAGGTTTTGAACGATTTGATATCTCTCGGAGGACTGAAAATTAGGTTGGAAGCGAACCGGATAGTTTCTATTAAGATCTGGATCTTCGCGAATGATTCCTTGAACTGCCATATCCGTTTCATTCTGCATTCTAGCTTGCCAAAGTTCGAAATTCTTTTGTTGGAAGTGTCTTATTAGTTGGTTCATTGAATTTACTGAAATTTTCGAGAACTATAGTTTGCATATATGCACGAACGAGCTAATTCGTTTCAGATAGAAATAACGAGAAAAAACAACTAAATATGAATGCAAAAAAATACTTTTAGAAAGTTGTTGACATTGATTTTGTTGAGTTCATTTTCGAAGTCTGGGAATTTTGATCTACCTTACATACTTTTACAAAATAAAAATATTAGGTTTGATAAATTTTATGTCGTAATAATTTGTGAGATTCATGTAGGATACCGTAAATGCTGTAAGATTATAGAAGGGCCATCTCAATTTTGACTTTGAGCTAATTTTCGGTTTCTGTCAAAGATAACAGAAAATTGTCAACTGATTGTTTATCATAATATCAGAAGTGTTCTGTCAATTGACACAGTTTTAATATTTTGCATAAGAATTGAGATAATTAAGCTCAAACTGGATCCCTTCTATTACACCCCTTCTATTACAGGGGAGCCCTTCTATTACAGGTTTTACTTTAATGCTTAAATTTTCTCAGAAAAGTTTCCACAAAATTCCTGCTTCCCAATCCTTTGCTGTCATTGTTTCACAATTCAGCACCGGGTGACTCCTCGAGCCACAAGCGCCAATTAATCATTTTGTAGCTTTCACATGTCTCGGGATGTTCTTTTTTCAAATTTATTCTCACGTCATCAGAACATCTTTTTTTAAAAAATTGATGGTTTCAGATGTTTGGATGTTTTTTTTTCAGTGATGTCTGGATTCCGGATTTCGTGTTTTTTATAAATTCCGGAATCCAGATTTCGGATTCCGTTAAATTTATTATTTATGGATTCTGTATTCCGGAGAAAATGTATACACATAATCCGAATACTCAACCGCTTCCGCTACTAACGCCGTAAAAATAAAGTGCGATACGTCCTTTTTAGAATTTTTCTGTACACTTGAGACGTCCAAATTCTAGATTCCAGATTCCGACTTCCGACTTCCTACTTCTGGCCGTTTTGTTCACCCGACTTCTCAATTCCTAATTTTGAAAAACTAAATTCGCTCCTGTATTTTTGACTCTCGACTTCCGAAAAAGAAATGTTACTTCCGAAATCCCACTTCCGAGTTCAAAAATATCACTTCCTGACATCTCTGTTTTCTACAATAATCCTACAAAAGACTTGCTTAAAACGTAGTATTTTGGATGGGCTTATGACGCCCACACCACATAGCTTTCCGAGAACATACAGCTGAAAATACCATGTTTTTGTTTTTGACATTTTTACAATCAAACTATAATTAAACACCTTTAAAAATCACTTGCCTATTACTCACCGATGCTGAATATTGCAATGCTGTATCCCAAAAAATTAGAATCCCCATGAGAATGCTAATCAACTTCTCTATTCCATGAGAAGGATTTCGTCTTCTTCTCTCTCCAAAATTTCTTTTCAAGTCAGATCTTTCAAAATTCATTCTACCGAAACGTCATATGTTCGGTTTCCTCCCCACAAACAAAACAATATATCTAGTATGTTCTAATTTTTTCCCTTAAAATTCTTGCCTAATGATACGCCCAATGCTCATCCATCCTTCCCGAGAAATTCTCAATTTCCAAAATAGACGGCAGCTTTGTATCTCTGGTTGCTCTTTGAGTCTATTTGCTCCTAAAAGTGAATCTAGAGGAGGAGAATCCCAAAATTAATCAGGGTCATGTGCTTCGAAACGCCTCCCTAGAAAATTTCTTTTTTTGTGCATCTCGAATTGCACAGCGCAATTGTACTAACTAAACTAATTATCAAGTCCTCCGAAATTTCATGCTTTTGCTCCTTTCGCGTGCTATCCAGAATTCTGTTTTCTGAACTAATTTTTGAAGGTTCACAGACAAATACTTCTATGGAGAGCTAATTCATTTTTTCAGACCGAAATGTCATTACTTCCAACATCTTCTGCTCTGTGCTCCACGATCAGAAAAAAAAACTCACCGTTGTTTTGTTCGACCAGTTTTTATTCTATATGTTTTTAAAAAAAGATTCTCACTCCATGTTCTCGGATTTCTCTTGTTTCCGGTTTTATATTCCAATACGGGGGTAATTTTTTGTGACTAGACGTGGTGTAACCTGTTGTTAGAAGGAGCTAAAATAGAGATCATACGCACACTCAATTGTGGAGATCTCAATATTTCGGAAGCTTTTTTAGAGTTTCACTGATGTTTGGTGATTAGAAAAAGGGTATACACTTTGTGAGACTTGCATTATTATCGTTCCTAAATTGGAATTTAACGAAATACGTTTGCTGTTGAGAGATTTTTGGTTTGAATTTTTAAAAGCGATTGGCGGTTCTTGTGTTGGTATAGTATGATAGTTTTAAAATGGGTTGATTCGCGCCAAAAGCGCATCAGTCAGCTGTTCAAAGCGCCTGAAGCGCGGTTCCGTATTCCGGATTCCGTGAAATTTTATTTTTCCGGGTTTCTGAGAAAATTATTTTATTCATTTTTTTTTCGAAGAAATCAATGCGGACATCCCTGGTTTTTTTTTTCGGCATTCAATTTGTTTAAAGTATATGTCTACTTTGGTTGCCTTCTCCTGCCTGATTCAAAATCTATTTTCAGTCGAAATCTCATTATTCGCCGAAATGACATTTTCTACATTTCCCTCAACTTTGATCTTTTCGCCCACAGACTGAAAACCACATCAAGTAAATAATATATGTCATTTTTTCATGAATGAAAATGTTTATGCGCACATCAAACAGACCATCAAACTCAACCGTAACATTCTTCCTGTGCTGCCAATTTTTTAGAACCCAAATCTTTTTTTTCGAGTTCCTGAACAATGAAAAATATGCAATTAGTCCTCACATGCGATCTAGTCACTTCTATTTTCGAAATAGAAAAACTGATTCATCTTCTGAATCCGTGTGATCAAGTCGGATATTAATCCTTTCTTATTATTTTCACTGGTCCCAAGTGGACTGGCCACTTCATTATGAATTCTAGGAATTTATCAAAATCAAATGATCAGATTTTTTGTCATGGGTAGACAACTGGAACTATATGATTTCTCGATTTTTGAAAATTATGTCATTATTTTTTTTAGTGTACTTTTGTTGAACAGAACGAAAAGTTATGCATTCATAGTTATGGTAAAGTTTCATCTTTGAGACGGCTCCTGCCTACATGCAAAATTTGTGAGCATATTGCCTCTAATAAAAACCCCAACCGTCATCTTTGAACCCAAATATTTCAATTTCTGTGAAAGATATTAAAAAAAAGTTGTCAACTGATATATTGTTTGTCATGAAACCAAAAGTATTTTGTCAGTTAACAAATTTTTGATATCTTGTATAGCAATTAAGATAAGTGAGCTGAAAATTGACAGTATGGAGGCTCTTCTATTACAGAGTTTACGGTAAATGTTTGCTGAATCAAATAAGTTTCTACTAATTCCATGAACTGTTTAACGATTTTAACTGAATTTTTCGGATTACTCTATTTGCTTTTTACTTTCACTATCTTTTTTTTTCAAATAATATTCCAAATTTCAGATCTATCATGTCATCTCCTGACACACCAGTTTGTGCATCCCCGCAACAAATGGAAATGTACAACTCTCATTTCTACACTTGTGCTCTTTTCTTCAACCTGCTAATCGCTTTCACATCGATGACTCTAATAATAATGGCAATTCGGAAACTTCTAACTGAATCTATAATCAACACATCCACAAGAATGTTTCTGATAGTTGGCCTTCTCTGCTGCTCACTTCATCAGACTGCCTACATCGTTCTCCGGGTGAGTTTTGGTTTTTTGATTCTTTGAGTACAAATTATTAAATTCATCCAACCGAAAACTTCCTCTTGATCAGTACCTTTTTGAACATACATTTTTCAGGTGCAAGTAATTTTTCAAATCTTGTTCAAACTGGATCAACCGTGTAAATTATACTACAAAGCATATGACTGCAAATACGTGACGTTTAGTCTTGTGGCCGGAAACACTGGAATGATTTTCATACAATCTGCAATGACAATTGACCGAATTTTGACCACTGTGTTTACCAATCTGTGGCCTAAACTCAAGTATTGGCCAGGAGTGATTCTCTCATCTTTCATGGTTCGGAAATTTGCCTATGAACTCTGAAAATATAATATTCCAGATTGGATGCAACTTCACAAATGTTCAATTCATTTTCTGGAATGATCCACTGACTGATTATGTTCCAACCTGTGGACAATTTCCTCCAAAATCCGTTGGAAGATTTCAGAAGTTTCTGGAAATTGCTCTGTACATGTCACTGGCACATATGGTCATTAATGTAATTATTCTTTACATTAATGTAGTGCAAGATCGGCGGCAGAGGTTGGTGTCTACACATGACCAAAGGTCTGTTTTTCAAAGGGGCAAATGATGAAACTATGAATTTCAGTCAATCGTTCGATGTAAATCAAAGATTTCAATCCAGAGTGGCTCTTAAATCAACACAAGCAATCTTCTTTCTCTCCATGTCTCAATTTCTGTCTTGCTTTTTGTATACAATTTTCACGAAGCTTTATCTCACACTTCAGCCTGATATGACACCACTACAATCTGGATTAACATTGGCGCTGACTTATGTAAGAAAAAGCAAATTTCTCAAAACGAATTTCATTGCAATATTTGCAGACAACACCATACGCATGCATTGCCATCCCGTCGTTGATTATGGTCACCCTGACCTTCATCAGAAATCAACGGCATCGAAGTATAAATGCATTGAGGTCACAGACAGAAACAGGCGATCAGTATATGCAGAAGATCAAAAAAATTTGGGATAAATAAATTATCTTCTTTTTTCATCTAAAACATGCTTATCAAAAAATCTTTCATTCAATATTTCGGTCACAATAAATAAGAGGTCACTATCAGTTGTTGTCAGTCCCTCAGAGAAGAATGCTCTGAGCAATCATGGCTGTCACTTGATACGGATCACAGTTAGATGATGGACGACGGTCCTCCAAATATCCTTTTCTCTCAGCTGCCACTTGTCTTGGAATACGAATCGAACATCCACGATTAGCAACTCCCCACGAGAATTTGTCAGCTGAACTTGTCTCGTGGCGTCCTGTCAGACGACGAAGATTGTCTTCTCCACCGTGAGGATCATAAACTTTCATTGCTTCCAAATGTGTTCTTTTGAGTCCTTCCATAGCTGCTTCGATAGCTGCGATTCCTCCGGGAGCACGCATTTCAGCAGTGGAGAAGTTGGTGTGACATCCAGCACCATTCCAGTCTCCCATTGTGACTTTTGGTTTAGGATCTAACGATACACATACTCCGAATTGTTCAGCAACTCTGAATGTTTTTTTTTGATTTCCAATTTTAAAGTGTTTGATTACCTATGCAGAATGTATCTGGACATCCACAATTGATCTCCCATATCGATTCCCTCACAAGTTCCAATCTGGAATTCCCATTGTCCGGGAGTGACTTCTGCATTTGTTCCGAAGATGTTGAGCCCAGCATGAAGACAAGCACGGTAATGTGTCTCAACAACTTCTCTTCCGAATGCTCGATCGGCTCCAACACTACAGTAATACTTTCCTTGAGGAGCCGGGAATCCATGTTTCGGCCATCCGAGTGGATGCTCATCTCGATCCACAATCAAATATTCCTGTTCCATTCCGAACCATGGACGGGTGTCACGGATCTCATTCATGATTTCAGCACAGGCTTGACGATGATTGGTAGCTATAAAATAGATCTGCAGCTATGAGCAATAGACTGTAAAACCTATAATAGAAGGGCCCCTCAAGTTTAAACTTCAAGGCAGTTTTTCTCAGTTCCTGTAGAAGATATTTATAAGTAGTCAACTGATAAACTGTTTATCATAACATCAGAAGTGGTTTGTCAGTTGACATATGTTTGATATATTTTATAGGAATTGAGATAGTTGAGCTCAAACTTGACAGTATGGGGCCCTCCTTTAGCAGGTTTATGTTAACTTAATATACCTGTTGGCTGCATTTCATGATCCAACGTGTCACACATGACCAATTTGTTAGCACCACCCAAAAATGGATCAGGATACGCTGCAACTGGACGCAAGTATCGATCGGAATCCCGTCCTTTGGCTTGTCCAGTAGAGGACCCATCGTAGTTCCAGATGGGATAATCTTCAATTTTCTTTGGAAGACGATCGAAAGTTCTAGTTTTGGATCGAAGATTCTCTCCAGTTCCATCGATCCAAACATAAGTTGCTTGGATTTTGGTTGGATGAGGACGGAGTCCGAGGAATTGATCAATGACTGCTTGTCCAAGTGGCATACGCGTCTCGTAGTTCAAGTGTGTCATTTTCAGCTGGAAAATGAAGAGTTGAAATTTGATAGAGCGATCAGAAACTCACGGTTTTTTCAAATCACAATCCAATGTTCTTCTTCGAGTAGAAGAGATAAACTCGTAATGAGTCTGATGGAATCTCGCTTGTGGTTTGAGATTTCATCGAAAAACTTTGAAAAAAAAATATTGGATGAGAAGTGGTAAAACACGTTCATATCTATGATTCGGTTACAGAAATTTTGAAGTTTTTACTGAGCGTATTTTCGAATGTTCGGACTGATTGTCCACGTCAACCTACCCACGACCTGAGTCACGGCCGCCCGCGGTCGACCGCAGCTGCAATTTGCACAGCCCTGATTCAGGCATACTTGTGGGACAATCGTTGATTGCTTTTTTGTCTCCGAACAATGATTCACTAGAGTAGGTGGGAGTGATACTTGAATCCTACTTCTGAACTTTTGTGGGTCAGTCCTTTGGATTTCGGTCATTACTCCCAATCTGTTGCCAAAGAATTCAAGAGTTTATTTAGTTTCAAATGTTCGAGAAGTCAAAAAACATGGGAACCAAAAAAACAAACCTCCCCCGCCAACTATAAATTATGAAATACCACAGGGATCATCTTCACTGAACCAGAACGATTTTTCATTAACTGTTCTACTGATTTTTCTTGTATTCTATGAATCCAAAGTATTCGTCAAAGTTTCTTTTCCTTTGTGATGCAATTGAATGTTTGATTCACAGACGAAAAAAAAGATGCTGATTTCAACAAATCAGCTGTCTATGTTTCAATTTTTGAGATGTTTCATTTGCAGATTTGTTTCAAGAAACTAAACAGTTTAATTTCAGGAATAAAATAATGGAGCTGGGAAATTCAATGCCAGGATTGCAAAACGAGGTAAGTCTAATGTTTTTCTCGATTATAAACCCTTCTTTTTTAACGAATTTTGTACCATATTGCTTGAAAATTTTCCATAGAAAGTAGATTTCAATTAGAATTATAAGAAGGGCTCAATTCAATTTTTTTTAGAACACCATAAATCACTAAATTTAGTTTTCCAAATGATCTGAGAATTAGGAAATAGGATTTTTGTAAAACCAGAGAAACTGAGTAAGATAGATTTCAGCCAGAAAAAAAGCTGCCCTAATTTGACTATGCCATAGATCTTTTAAGCGCTCATTCAGAAAATCAGGTTCCGGCTAGTTTCATAAATGCCAGGTTCACATACCAACCAAACCAACTATTATAAATTTCATGAGAATTTCGAAAAGCTTCGGCATTTTCAACATTACAGCACTGATGTCTGCGCTCTATTATTATTATTGATATCACTTTTGAAAAAAAAACTCTCTTTCCTCTTAACCTCACAATTAGAAACCAAACTCGAATGTTTTTTTTTTCAGAATTCTTGTCCCACTTTCTGCCTTCGTAAATTGATTAATTTTCCCGGAAACTCCATTTAGCATCGTCAGAAGTATTTGTGAGGTAGAAAGGAAATAAGAAATTTCGATTAGTGAGAGGAAGGAGGTATAAACATATTTTTGGCTGACTTTTTGCCATATTTTCAGTCTGGAACATAACAGAGCTTCAAAGTTTCATGACGCATTGTCTAGAGAAAATCAGAAATCTGAAGTTGCACATTCATGTTTTGTTTTTTCGTATTTTCATAAAAATATTTTCATTGGTGGTAATTATTTTAAGTCTATCCAATCAAGGTCAATTTTTTTCTGGTGGCCGTTTTTTTAAGGTGGTCGTTTCCCACCGGGCTTCCGAGTTGGCCGATAAAGAGTCTGCCTTCGGAACTCTCACTCAGACATTATCATGTTTTGTATCCTCCTCAAAAAGTTCTACGATCTCATTTCTCGCTTCACCAATTTCGTAATTTTTTGGTTTTTAACTTTTTCAAAAACCGGAACCGCCTCTCTTACATCCAAACCACGTTTTCATCATTTAGTCATATGTATTTACATAATCCCTATACCAACAACTCTTTCATATTTTCATCATTTTCAGATGTCGTGTGCATCAGAAGTCCAAGCTCAACTCTTCACGCATCCAGTTCAAATTATTTATGCTTGTGTTCAAACAGTTTTATTCTTAGCAACTATCATCGGATCCCTATTAGCTATTGTGCAACTTTGCAAGAAAACAACGATTCCAGATTCTACTAAAGTTCTTTTAATAGGCGCTTTATTTTTTGCCAATGCTCATGAACTTGCATATTTTAGTTCGCCGGTGAGTTTTCGAAGAATGATTACGGTAAACATTCTGACACTCGAACATTCAGCTTCAAGCCAATTTATGGTTCCTGCGGTAAATATCAAAAGATGATGAACTAAAAAATGTTCATCATGTTATCAAAAATAGTTTGTTAGTCAACCATTTTTTGATATCTTTTACAGGAACCAGGATAAATAGGCTCAAAGCTGAAAGTTTGGGTATTAAATTAACTTTAAAATTTCAGTTCAAAGTATTCAAAATGAATTTATTTCATACAAATACATCATGTTATCCGTTAGCCAGCACGCTGGAATGTATCCCAACGACCACAGTTCTGGCCATGGGAATTTCTGGAAATATGTTGATTCAATCCGCATTGAGCGTTGATCGGTTCGTGAGAAAATTGGGAAATTTGGATGATGAATCATTAGATTTTCAGGCTATTGGCTACTATATTTCCCGTTTGTTATTCCAGAATGAGAGCTCTTCCGGGAGTGGTTCTTCTTTTCATGGTGGTAGGTTTTTGAATTTTTTGATTTTTTGCAAACATCAGGCACTGGTGCAGTGATGCATAACTCTAGATGATTTGTAATGCTGTAGTTTGTAGTTTTAGCTATGAACGCGGAAGTCCAAAAAATAATTTTTCCTGGAAGTTGGGGACCAAAATAAAATTCAATTTTCAGCTGATCCCATCATTTCTCTCCTATTCATGGATCCGTTCGGATATCGTTTTGGACGATTATCAAATGTTTTGCTCCCAATGGTCAGCTAATATAAGTTCTCGTGCAAACACTTACTTGGAATATTGTTCATATTTAACAGTTGCACATATTATCATAAATGCATTGATCATTCTCAGAAATCGATCTGTGGAGAGCAAGTAAGCAAGGAGGGCAAACAATTTCTATATTTAGATTTTTCCAGTTTGATTAGTCTCCCGTAATTGAGCACAATCTTGAGCAGGAAAAGGCAAAAACAAACAACAAACTCTATTCATTTTTCAGATGTCGATTTGATGTTCAACAAAGATATTTGAATTCTGAAACTTTGAAGACAACACAAACAATTTGCTATCTATCCATTGCTCAGTTTCTAGCAATGTTCTTGTATTCTGGAGGCGTTCTTTTTATGAGAAAAAATCAGAAAAACATTCCAACTTTGATCTATATCAATGTCATTGTTTGGGTCTATGTAAGCTTTTTAAGGCTTCCATTTTGGTCGATCAAAAATCGGACACCGACGACCGAATTCGCGAATTTGGACGTCAAAAGGACCGCAAACACTTTCTGTACTTTTGACTCACAAATGCACAAATTCGGTCGGCGGTCGGTATGTCGGCTAAATTTCCCAACCGAATGGAAATCTTAACTTGTTTTGAACACGTTTAAAATTAGGATGTTTAGGCTCCTCCGTATGCTTGCGTATCTCTAGCTCCTCTCATTCTCTTCTCTCTTTGGAATCTTAAAAAACAACGACAAATCAGAATTCAGTCGATAACAGTTCAAAAAGAAACACAAGAAGATCACATCCGAAAACTTCAGCTTTCCTGGGGATAGTATTTCTCCTTGCTTGCACTTACAAGAACATCATCACAGAAAGCTTGTTTCTTGAGAGATGCGAAACGGTAGATAAGAACGTGAAAGAGAGAAAAAGAAGGAGAAGAAGACGGCTAGTGTTCCGTGTTTCTTCTCCAGAAGCCCTGTCAACCGTTTTGTATGGATGTGAAACAACTGAAAATCCAACGAAAAGTTTTGTATTCATGTTTTGGGATTTATATCGTGTTGCGGCTCATTTTTGTGGACTATGCCTCTATTCCGTAAGTCAAAATTGTTTAAGAAAATACTGGTTAGACGATTCTTTACAGAGAAAAACGGAAGTTGGAAGAAATTCCATTAGAATGTGATTCTGTAATAAATGGCACTGAAAATCCACGATTAATTTCAAAAGCAAAGCAGTGGGATTGGCATTATAATTGGGTGGAAAACGAAATATTTACAGCAAGAATATGTAAGTTAGAAAATAATTTTTTAAAATAGAAATAATTGTTAAATTCTTGTCTTGAATTCAACTAATTACTAACTCGGTTTTTCCTCCATCTCCCATTTATTACAAATGTTATATCTCCTAGATTCATAGACATTTCACATGTTAGTGGTTTTCTCCCCTTCGTTGAAATAAATAAATTTAATTTAATTTAATTTAATTTAAGAAAATTATTATTTTCAGATGTACAGTTATCGAAAAGTATTTCACTTTCTCTCGAGAACCAATGTCCATAGAAGAGGAAAAATACCCATTAGCTTATGGATTAGTGGTTTACAAGACTATTGTTCAGGTAATTTTTAATTTAGAGAGAGATCCGGCCAACATTTTTGGTTTTTTTTTGCATTAAAATGTTCTGAAAGACATGTATTTTCATAATATTTTTTGAAAAAATTCAGGAAAAATGAATCTCCCTGAAAACGCAGTCAAAAATTCAAGCGCTCTCAATTTTCATACAATTTGTATTCATGGATTTTTTCAGCCATTTGTGCGGTCAGAGACACTTTTTTGTTCTCTTCATCGTTTTTTTTTCATTTCAACAGATCAAAGTTTACTAATAATGCAGTCAAAACAACAGAAAAAAGCGAATACCGTAAACACTCTAATATATAGCTCCTCCTAATTGAACGCCACCCTCTAATAGAACGTTCCCCCAGCTATGCATTGAAAAATATAACGTCACTCTCCAATTGAATGCCACCACTAATAGAATGCTACCTCAAAAAAATAAATTACGATTCACCAAATTACTAATTTTTTGCTTTTTAGAGAGGGTTGCAACATTTTGCAGTACGCAAGTAGATGGTTTTTTGAATTTTTTCCTGATTATTCCCCCACATTCCGCTTTTTCTCAAAGTATTTTGGGCACCATCAGAAGCTTCGCGAAACTTTTTTGGTATCGAATAATAGAATGCCACCCTCTAATTGAATGCCACCCTCTAATAGAACGTTCTCCTAGCTATACATTGAAAAATAGAACGCCATGGTATTAAATTAGAGTTTTTACGGTTATTCTGAAAAATAGCATGAAAAAGCAGCGCACACAGTGGCCTTGGGCTAGGATTCCCGCGGCCCTCTTAGACGAGAACCGAGCATTTTCGACAGCGTTTTTCGGGGAGTTCAAAATGAATTTTTTCAAATTAATATTATGAAAATTCATAACTTTGGGAGCATTTTGATGCAAAAAAAATACAAAAAACTGTGTTCATTTTCTTATTTGATCTATTTAAGGTGATGATGCAGCTCTCCCTCTTCTACCAACCTCAACACCTTTTCTGTATCACTGTTGATAATCAGAGTCCAGATCAGTACAAAGCAGTTATTCAAGCTCTACCTGAATGTTTTCCGAATATGAAAGTTTTTGTTAGTTCCTTTCAGTTTAAAGACGTTCCAATCACAAACAACTATTTTCAGATAGGAGAACCATCTGATTGGGGATCATTCGGAATTTTGAGTAACGTCTATACATGTTTCAATTGGTTAGCAGAAGCGAAACACAACTGGAAGTACTACCAATACCTGTCTGGAACGGATCTCCCTATTCGAACAAATCTGGAAATGGTTAGGATATTCAAGGCAATGAATGGATCCATCAACACAGATGTCAGTACTTTTGAAGTGGATCGATACAAGAATATGGAGGTATGACTGAATAGGAAATACTAAAAATTTTGAGACTTTTGCAGGGTGTGCTTCCGCCGATGCCAATTTACAAATCTAGTATGTCTGTTGTTGTGCCTCGGGAAGCTGCTGATTTTCTAATCATCAGTCCCAGAGTGCAGAAATTGCTCAAGTATCTCTCCAAGACGTGGATTCCAGATGAATCATTCTGGTCAACTGTTCTCGGGTCCCCAGCTCGTAGGTGTCCATTATTTTTCTTTTTTCTTATTTTTCACCAAACCTGAAATTATGGTTTACAATATAAGTCGTTACAGTAGTCTTCGTCATATAAAAACACATGGAAAGGAACCAATAATTATTTCCAGTGCTCCCCGTCCCTGGTTCATTTCGAGTTCGTGACATTCTATGGCTTCGAAAAAATTTCAAGCTCCGCCCACCCTACGAAAATACTGTAGACTCGATTGGTACCTCTTACATTGGCAGGTATCAAGTATGGGGATGGCAGAAAGAATGCTTCGGTTAGTGTCCAAATGAAATGCTTTATCTCGAAATGGATCTCGTCTTTTTTTCGGAGAGATTCGTTCCTGAGATTCCAAAGTCTCCCTTTTGTTTTCACTTTCTGTCCCTTTTTTCAGGAAAAGTCAAAGATTTCTCATGTGTCTTCGGTGTTGGGGATATTGAGGAAATTATGACTAGGCCGGAGTTGGTTGCTCATAAGTTGTATCTCGAATACCAACCAGCTGGATTCATGTGTATGTTCAAGGTAACAAAGAGATACTGAGGTATTGAGTTTTTGAAGTTCTAATTTCAGTCGATTCGAAAGAGAAGTTTGAGTCCGGATGCGGACAAATTCAGTGCGAAAAGTTATTCGGAGATGCCAAGTGTCGAATTATTCAAAGGGAAAGCTATAACCCAATTGACAAATCCTCACTGGCTAGTTAGAGATTCATTCTACAATCCATCTCTGGAAGATTTCGACAAAGAAGTTCTATGATCAATTTTACTGTTGTTCGGGAATAACTCGATGTTCGCAACACCTCTCTTGGTCAAACATGTACCGGTTTTTTAATAGGAAGAATTTCACTTTTCATGTTATTATTTTTGAATAAAACATTTGTCTTCTGATTCTGTTCTTTCTGAAGTTGGACGGATAAGGGCACAGTAAGTAGATCGTGGGCACCAAAGAGATTTGTGGATGAGAGCAGGGACGTTGGGGCAAAGTAATCTCTCCGTCCCTCCCAGTCCCTGGCTCGTTTCGAAGTTTGTGACATCCTATGGCTTCGAAAAAATTATTGTTCGAGAATCTCTCGATATTCACAGCACCTCTCTTGGTGAAACATTTACCGGTTGCCTCTTTATTTTATAGGAAGAATTTCCATCTTATTGTTTTTAGTGTTTTTAGTTTTAAATAAAATTCTTATCTTCTGTTTCTGTTCTTCTCATTGACCCTAATACTTCCGTTCTAAAATAGCCGATTAAATTGTCATACTTACCAAATCAAAAATCATGCGCTGCCCATAATAAGTTTTGACCGATTGCCATCAAGTCACCGAAAAAAGTAACTTCAGAATTTTTTTCGATTCGCAAAAATTGCATCGTTCCGTCGTCTAATAGAGGGGCTAAACGTGGCCCACAGTGTAAGTTGTTTTTAATCATTTGAACATTCAAAAAAGTCTTTACTAGAACGGCACCCACATTGTTCATTTTGAGCTTTTTTATCTCAATTCCTATGCAAGATATCAAAAATGTGTCAACTGACAAAACACTTCTGATATTACGATAAACAATTCACTAGTTGACAACTTGTTTATATCTTTAACAGGAATCGAGATAATT